TCCTTATCAGGTCGGCAAGATTCGACTCCTTCTTGATTGAACAGAAGGTAAACTTATTAACCACGATAGGGATTGCAAATCTTGAATGCGCAGTTCGGCCTCCTTCTAATAGCAACGCATCAATCCCGCTCGATGCAACCTTAAGAACAACATCACCTTGGGAACGTAGAGCAGATCCTAATAGACTCCACAAATAAGTTTTACCAGTACCTCCAGAACCATAAACAAAGAACATTCCTCCTTTGTTCTTATTTACAGCTTCTAGGATCTCATCATAAACACTTCTCTGTTCGCTGGTTACAGTGGCTAACATCTGTTCGTTTCTAACTCTAAGAGTTTCGCAAATTGTAATTCCTCTCATCCCGAATAAGAGGATTATCACGTGACTCCAGAGTAAATCTTTAGGAAACGGCATAGGTGTGAATTCTTTTAAAGATCTCCCACTTACACGTAAAAGAAGTTCTATTTCGACCAGAGTAAAGTCTTTAACTTGCTCCTGAGATAGACTAACAGCTACACAATTTCAAAAAAATTACAAAAGATAAATTAGCTATTATGATCTTAAAGATATATAATAACAACAACACAAACAATAACTATACGACTTACTTTGATCACTGGCAGCCTTTCTGTAATTATATATGATGTCATCTGATAATACCTGCCATGTAGCATCCCAAACTCTAGAAGGAATGGATATACTATGAGTTGTGAGCAGGATCACAAAAAGACGACGGAGATAATTGACAGAAAGCCACAATCCGGCCTCATTGATGGCCTAAATATATTCTTTGTCATCATTCAATAATCCATACGTATAGCAAGCGTCTTTGAACGAAGAATGTAGAACTTTGTTGACTGTTTTTATATCGTCAAAACTACGTGGTCCTCTGACTAAATTAAGCAGAAGCCTTAAATAATACGCTTCACCTGTCCCAATGGGTACGTACGTGATTCTACCAAGAGCAACTCTCCTTGATCGTGGCGTCCATATCCTATTTGGTTTATTCCACACAAATCTCGTAGGAAGTTGCGCATAAGTTAACGTCCTCGCCAGTTCATACTTATTGTTTCACTCCATCCAAGCAATGAATTTTGACGTACCAACTGAGACACGATTAATAACCTCGTCACTTGGATCATCCTTGTTGTATATGACCATTTGCTGGTTCGGTAAATGAAAGGGTAGTTTAACTACAGAAACCGTGCGATGGTGAGTATGATTACCGAAAATTCTCCACGTAGACTCCGAAGGTGCTACATACCTATATAGAAAGACATTATTAAATACTTTGTACATTTCCTTTCAGCCATGCAAACACTATCCTTATTCAAAGCACCACATGGCCCATGCATCATGACATCTCCTACTATCTCATACAGCGCTGGATCAATATCCTTGTCAGAAATCTCAGCACATATTATCTTATCAATGTCATCACCAGTTGGTAGCTTGTGACCAGCCTCTAAAAAAAGAACGATGTGTGCATGAGGTAGTCCCCATTTTTGAAACTCAATCGTATAGATCGCTGCAAAGAATAAATTGTAGTTTTTAAAAGATTAGTTAGCATGATCATCTAGCAATGGTATGGACAGTATCTTGCTAAACGAAATAAGATACTTAGTTTAATAAAACATACCGGCTTTTAGATACCTAACACATTTTCTTTGGTGAGTCTGTGCATGAGATCATCTAGTTTCATCTTGAACACTCGCGTACATATATCTGGCCTATCCTCTTGCTTCAAGTTATGTCTTTTTAGGTGCTTGGTAATCTCAGGCCATTTGGGATTACACGTAAAGGTTATGAAAAGATCCGGAAAACCAAAATGCTGGCAAGTAGTCATCGCATCTAGATAATGTTGCACCATATACCTTGTACCACTAGTATAAGAAGAAGGTATAATAATACGTTTACCCTTGTCAGAAAGATCAGTGTCACCTTCATCAACAGTTTTATTTATCTTGTCATAATTTTTGCAACGAAGTTTAGACTGTTTCATTGATATGAAACGTAGTCTATTAGTCTCAATCATCGTGTACGCATCCACTAAGAATTGCTGGAATAATCTTCCAGATAAAAGGATGACTGGTGACTCGCCAACCCTCTCCTGTATGCGGAAAGCAAAAAACTCTCTCATAGTAATATGCAACCTTTTCTTCCCTTGGGTATCTACAAAACCAATATCGATACCAAGTCTGAACCCGTCCTCGCCATAGGGAAACAATAATGGATATTGCAAAGGCAGATACGCAGGATGTAGTTCACTGATCCTTTTGAGATTCCCAGTCTTTTTACACTCGATGATGATATCACGTGCATCTATCTCATGATCGAAATCATTAGGTATCAATGCAGCAACCTCATTAGTAGCTGGTAGATTCTCAGTCCTTCCATCACTTTTCCTGTCATGCTTTAAAATTATCCTTAACCGGCTTGTATCATCGTTAGGATCAAACCTTTCTCGAACGTTTCGTAATGCATCCACATGTTTGTTATGTTTATCTAGCATATTTTTTATTTTCTCAACAAAATTCTCTCGCAATTTATCAGTCGGTCCCGTTTTCCTATAAAATTTTTAAAATAAATTCTTATGACAGTTAGAACCACATAACATTTAATCACAGTACATATATGTTTTTAAATTGATCTCAATGATTAAATTAAATATAAACCAAAAGAATAATAATCATACTCATAAGCAGCTATTCGGTTAGATGTTTCATTTGCGGTATCATATATATATATATTTATATATATAGCTGTAAAAAGGCTGGTTCTTTTCCAGGAGGTGGTAGCAAAGCCCCTATAGAATGATAGTTCTCCCCACTCATCTGGAAAATGTAAGGACCTTTCCCGTCGTTGATTTCTTTATTTATTTTTCCTCCAAGAGAAGTGAAAGAAAACATCATATTATATGCCCGGATAAACTCACGAAAGTGATCACGCAAATCACCATCATTATACATCAATGCTAATAGCGAATTCGGAGGGGTTTTAAGAAGTGGAAGAACGACTTTACCCTGACCACAACACATGAAGAATATAGGCTTCCCACGACGATATCGTTTACCCAACCTCTCTCCATACCACATATAAGCCTTACAATTACCACATATATATATATATATATATATATATATATATAGGATCACCATCGTCGTAATAACCTGATTAGAATAATATTCATTGCTTAGTATTAATTACACGATAGTTATATATTATTATAAAGTAAGAAATTAAACATTCAAACATTTATCATTACAAAAACTAAAATATAATCATGAAATTGATGTGTTATACCTTCCAATCCCCCATTATAAAGTCTAACGTGCGGTCACATTCAGGAAATCTTTTAAATTTCAGTAAGACTTTCAACTTAGTCTTCCATATATGCTTGGTAGGATCAAGTTCGGAAATTCCAAACAGATTTTGATCATATTTTTTATGTACGGCGATAGATAGGAAATAAGCCATTTAAGTTAAACGCAAACCCAGAGCCTCAAAACAATTACAACGGTTACGTCCAAAGGTACCTTAAATAAACATAGCAGAGACAATATTTAAACCAAACTTTTGTTTCCTATTTATACAATTTAAAATAAAAGGATATTTCGAATATTTTACATTTTTGAGATACCTTAATGCTTATTTTACATTTTTAGGATAACATACTACTTTGATAGAAAATTTCATCTCTTGATATATTCCTTCCAGATCGGGATCGCAGGGATACCTTTTCTGATTTGTATTAGGGATCTATGATATTATAATATTATAATTATAACAATTTTCCGATTTGTATTAGGAATATATCGGAGGTGAGACATTTGCATCGTTATATATAAAAACGATGTATTAGCATTACCGAGTAATATATGACGACTACTTTTTAGGTTTTATAGGCACTATATCATGTCGTTCGCTGCTTGTCTTTTAGCAATGAAAAATATGACTTACACCAATGTCTCCGATATAACTCCATCAAACCAACTACGCCGTATTCGTGTGAAAATACTGCGTATTTTCAAGCACATCGGTGAACCTGACAACACTCTAGATTTGGTGTTGGTTGATAAAAAGGTATTCCGGTGACTCTATATGTTCCGTGCATATATACATATTTTTGTTTTTATTGGGTGATAAAATACATGGATCAATATCAAAAGGGTTTATAGACAGTTTTACATCAGAAGTGAAGCAGGGAGATTCAAATATTCTGTATCGTTTTGGTGTAGTCCCTGTCATCGGAGACTTGAGGCCGACGTTGCACAATTATAAAATAATATGGAATTGTCAAACTTATTTTTCAAAGATCCCTTTCTATGATAACAACAACTACCTAAGTATTGTTGAATTTGGTAACATACACAACAATCTCTGAGACCCATTGTTTTTCGTTGGTATGACTTTAGATAAATTAATAAATAATAACAAAAAATATATGTTATTTTATATCTATAAACTTTCTCAATGACTAACTAATCTTTTTATTAGATATAACTGGACACGTCGCAGTGATTGGAACATTTAGTCACAAATCCTCCAAGAGCCAAAGAAAGTGGGGTGATGTTTACGTGGAGCTCCGTAACGAATCGTAAGTTTTTAAAATATGTTTCTCAATTGCAATCACTATAATTATCAATTTTTACTACATTATGTGATTATTATATGCCCAACAGAGATGCTAGGTTGCAAGTGTTATTACGGAACGACTATGCATTGGACCTGATGACTGCTTTATCACGGAAAGAACACAAAATTAACATTTGTGTTATATGATTCGTCAAACTGTTCAAATTTGCACATGGTTGGGCAGCGATAACCGCATACGATTGTACCAAAATTTTATTAAACCCTAACCTACCCGAAGTCGAGAGAATGCGGACCACAATCACAGAATCAGACGACTGTGTTATATTAAGTTTTTGAATAGTTTTTTTTCCGTATGTTTGGTTTTCTTTTTTATTTATGTTTTCATCATTTGACTCAATAAACGATGGTACTATACCAAAACTCTGCTTATAGTAATATTATTCTTTTCGTATACCTTATTTTCTTCCATTTTAAAAATATATGTTTATTATATATATATACATATTTATTTTCCTAGTAAAATATTAATTTTGTCGTCGCCTCTGCCAGGTCGTTACGACTTCACGCCCTCGCCATCGCCGCCGGTTGTCCCCACGCAGCAATCATCAGTATCCGTGAGGGATTATCCACCACCGGCGCAGTTGTTCCCGAATTCGCAGAATCCACATCGAGGACCAGAGTCTCAATCTCACGAGCAACCATCTCCACGCGGTCAACAGCAACCATCTCCACGCAGTCAACAGCAACCTGTCTCTCAACAACGACACGAGCAAGCTTCTGACGCTCAAAGTGTATTTCCGGAAGAAGAAGAAGAAGCTCTATTCCCGGTGAATCTCGCGGAAGACCAGCAACGAATTCTCAATGCCTTGCTCACTCAGCCTGGCAGGGAAGCATACACCACAGTCCTCTCTCCCATAAAGAAGCCGAACACAACATGGTATGATTTCAAGTAATCTAATTGCATAGTTTTAGGGTTTTTTGGCTAGAATTTGTATGATTGTTTAGAGTTGTTAGGGTACTTGGCTTAGAATTGTTATGATTGTTTAGAGTTGTTATGGTACTTGGCTTAGATTTGTTAGAATTGTTATGGTACTTAGCTTAGATTTATGGACTTGGTATATTAATTGTTAGCTTGGATTTATGGACTGCTTATTTGCTTATCTTAGTATTGGGTTTAGGATTGTAACTGTTTCTTTACTTTATTGTGTGCTTGCAGGTTTGGGCGTGACAAGTCTTCCCTTACTCGGAAGATAACAAAAATTTTCTGTAACAAGTTCGATGGCCCATTTTATAGCTGGACATGTGTGCCTCGGGAGAGACAAGAAAGATTCTTTGTTGAATTCGCGGTAAGGTTCTCTATCCATATTCTCCTTTTTTGTGTTGATACATATGAGCCATTTGTTTTTTATTGCTCACTAACATCATCTTCTCTATTTTTTTGGTAGAAAACCCACACCTTGGATCCTTTATTAACCGGTGTGGTTCAAGAAAGGTTTGAGAGAGTATGTCTCCTCCGGATGAAAGACATGGTCAGCAAGGTTAGGGCTTCTCGAGAACAACCAAACTGGATTGGAGATACTCTTTGGAAACAAATGACAGAGTATTGTGACACTGAAGAAGCCAAAGAGAAGAGTTCCACCACATCAGCTGCTCAGATGTCTGAGCGTAATGGACTTGGTCCTCATGTTCACTTCTCAGGGCAGAAGTCATGCCTCCAAATCCAACAAGAAATGGTAAGTATATCAATTTTTAACTTTCTCATAAGTTATATATCATCTTTAGTCAGATGGGAACTAATTCTTTCTTTATATTGTTATCATTTCAGGAAGAAGAGTTGGGAAGACCGGTGAGCCTTGGTGAAGTTTTCATCAAGGTTCATACAAAACGAGATGGAACGTTTGTAGACCGAAAGTCCAAGAATGTGGCTGAGGCTTATAGGAAGAACCTGGATTCCAAGTTGGCTGACCTCGGGATAGACTCAGAGACTTCAGATGGTACTTCACCATCGTTGGGGCTAACCATAGAAGAGGAGAATGAGATTTTTCTTCAGGTAAAGTCTTCGTTTTTTATTTTTGATGTGTTCTTTTATATTATGCTTTGCTTCTATAGCTTTCAAGTTGTTACTTTGTTTGATGCTTTGATGTTAATATATGCATTGATGCTTTGATCCTTATTTTGTTTTTGCAGTCGACTTTCATAAATGAGCGAGGTATTCCTTATGCAATTGGAAGTCTTTCAGAGACACATGTCAATGGAAAGAGGAAATGCCCAGGAAGCTCTTCAACATACAAGGGATTGGAAGAGCAGCTACAAGAAGCTCATCGCAAAATAGAAGAACAAGCGGCTGAGAACTCCAAGCGTGAAGCAGAGCAACAAGCCAAGCTGGACAAGTTATCTATGGTGGAAAAGTATTTGACTGAAACTGATCCAAAGTTCATGGATTTTTTGGCTGCAAATCAAACTCTTCCAAGTGATCCAACTCACTCTTAAGGTTTTTCTACGTCTCTTTTTTTAAGTATCTCGGCTCACTCTTTTGAACTTATCTCAATGGTTAAGTATGTAACCATTTGATCTTTGTTTAGTAACTTTTGGAACAATGGTTTTATGTCTTTTTTTAAAACAATGGTATTATGTAATATAATGACTTTTTGCATTTTACATTTGAATATTTTTTGCTGTTAAATTGTTATTTAAAATGTAGAATGGATTCAAATTATCAGATTTGGAGGAATCTAATCGTAAAACTAGATTTTGTTTTCATTTATTGAAGCCGTCGCAATGCAGTCGTAAATCAGTCGGAATACAGTCATAAATACGTCGCAAAACAGTCGTTAAATTGCACCAAATATCATTTAATTATCGAACCATATGGTCGCCATTCAGTCGCAAATACGTCGCAAAAACAGTCGTCAATCAGTCGCTAAGGTAACGAATGCTTTGCGACTGATTAACTTCGTCAACATTTAGTCGTTATTCAGTCGGTATTTGGCGACTGATAAGCGACGAATTAATTTAGCGACTCAATATTAGCGACTGATGCTATTAGTCGGAACTCGATCGTAAATTTAGTGTTAGCGACTAATTAGCAACTGTATATGAGGTCGCTAAATCACTGTTTTCTTGTAGTGTAATATCCTCATAAGAACATGGGCCTTTTATGACAGCCAACAAAATCCTGAGCTAATTTGCCTCGCCAGATCCATCCGAACAATCTGCTATAACGCTGACTCCAGGGTCACCAATGACACGTCATCTCCATAACTTTTTCTTACGATCCCAAACAAATTTACTTGGAATTTCTGAATACATAAGCATCCTAGCTTCCGGGCATTCTTTGTTGCAGTTCATCCAAGCCGTGAATTTAGATATTCCATTAGAACCAAGATTTTTGCATTCATCAGTCATCACAATCTCGGATTCACGAAGATGGAAAGGCAACACGTTTGGACTAACACTTCCACGTGTATTTGCACCTACGAAACATAATTAGATCTAAGTTACCAACCAATATAAATAAGAAAGCAGAACTTAATAAACACAAAACGATATCAAGTTGGATATATAGTATATATCGTACCTGATGAGTTCATTATAGAGGTATAAATAAAAAGTTCGCAGCAAAGAATGGAGTAAACCACGATATGACACTACATCTATATATAACCAAGTATTCTAGGGTTTTATTATAATTTTGGCATTTTTTTATTAGAAATTTGACAATTTTGTTTTATTTTATAAATATACGCACACGTAAATACAACAGAATAAATTTTCTCTAGAATCTTCGAGAATCATTAAAACTGAATATATAATTCATTTGCTACAAATACTGGATACTTATTCGTACAAATATTACGATCATAATATATATATCACGATATTTATTTAACTTATCGTGATATATGTACATTTTATTAATTTTGATACTTATAACACCAAAAAAAAAAACGGACAGAGTTTAGATTTATATGAATCGGGTCGCAATAAAATCAATTTTCAGAGTCACGACAGTTTCCAGGACGTTATGTAGATGTGTTCAAGGGTAAACCTAAATCCCAAAACAACGTTTTAAAAGGTCTATTGATTATAACCCCACTATCATATCTAAGATTACAATAAACCAATTATCGGTATCATAGACAAACGTCATAACAAATTAACTATCGACATAATACTAAACTTGATAACCATAACTAAAACAAATGCGATAGAAAAACGATCTACAGACATGGTGTGAATATGCGATACACGTGACGATTGTAAACATAAAACTGAATATAAATCAATCAATTTTAAAAAATGAAGAACAACTATTTATAACGAAATATTAAACTCTTTCAAATTAAATAAAGATTAAGTAAGCATAAAATAGAAATCAATAATATTCCGAATAGAAAAAGGTTCTAACAAAACTCGAATCATAAAAATGTATAAGATAATATAATAGCGACCTCATTATCACTAAACATCCTATGACATAGAATTCTTCTTCCTTCTAGATCCAGATGTTTTGACAGGATTAGCAATGACGTCAGGATCCTCACGATCTCTTTTAGAACTCACAGGAGCTGTCTTCTCGATAGAAACATCTGTATTTAGTTTAGCAATGTCATCAGGAGCATCACAGTCACTTTTAGAAGATGCAGGTACAATCTTCTCGATATAAGCTTCTGCATTTACATTAAAACACTGACATCAGGATCATCACAATCACTTTTAGAACAGGCAGGCAGATTTTTCTCAATATGTGCTCCTTTATCTTCACCAACAAAGGTTTCCAAAAGCGGAGGCTTAAAAAAAAATCATAGCAAATAAACAATCCGTTATGCATAGTTACATATCTAAATATCCAGAAAAAATAAGAATCGAAAGCATACCTCAGAATATACCTGACTACAGAATGTCTGAATCATATAGTCATCAGATGTAAACCGGTCAACCGAAAACGAAGTCTTAACCTTTTTGACATTATCTTCCGTTACAACAACCTTAAAAAGGATCTCTTTTCCTTCTAGATCACGCAGTGATTGAGGCAGTCCAGACGAATTATCCTACAAAATATATTGAAAGTATTTTAAATGAGTTATATAATCATAATGCTTATCAAATAAAACTATAGGTGTACCCCAACAGATTCTTCGAAAACTTCCTCGGCAGTCTTCTTAAACAATTTTTGAGCAATTTTGTCGAACATGACAAAGACTGCCATCCCTCCAAAACCATCGTCCACGTTCAACAACAGAAAGAAACTACAAAAGAATAATTAGACAATTAGTTTTATAAATAAAAAAAAATATACGACATAATGATTATAAAGGTGTGTAGACGCCGAATTCAAACAATAGAGATTTAATTAGACAATTACTTACCAACCTGCTTATTCGAAACAATCAACGACAACCACCGATATAGAAAAAAATTTTATAAACAAAAATGACAGAGTATCGCATATTCACATTCCGTCTCGATCGAATGTATAGAACTTAACTTTCACCTAATATTAGTTCCCAAAAATTCATTGTTTAATGAATCTTTAGAATCTACACCCGAATCATCTTTGTTAGGAATGAGAATATACTTATCTTGGGCAACCTTAACGGAAAAAATACAAAAACTAATTATAGTAGAACGAACAGATGTACAAATAAAACCTTACTGTAATTCCATTGAATAGATTCTTACTCAGATCGGAATTTCGCCACCAGAGGACACACTAGATCAAACAAAGTCTGAGTTGTATTAAAAGCATTTGAGACGCTCATCTCACCTAAAAAGTATAAATAAATCGGTGTTTCAGAAATACATATAATTTATGACAAAATTGTTCATAATCGTCGCTAAAATTGAATCAGTATAAATCATTAAATAATATACCTCAATAGTTTTTGATACATGCAAGCCTTATAATAACCACAACGATGGATGCGCAATTACGTTTAACGTAATCAGCAACTTCTTTTGCGTAATCAGCCCAAAGAGTACACGGTAATTGTAGATTGTTGTTATAATTAATACATGATCATGAGTTAAATCATATAACTAAAAATAACACAAAATAAAATAAAATATTAAATTAGAACTACGTATGTTACCTCTCATCTCTAAGATAAATCTTAAGTCTAGAACGACGTTTTCCTTGAGCCATGACGTCCTCAACATGACCAACTCTTACGATTTGTCCGACCACGTCTTAGCGTTTGTAATAAAGTAACACGAAACAAAAGAACCAACGCAATTAGCCAACAGCTATCTAATGCAAAAAAGTATTTAATACCGTGTCATAAAAAAATGTTAAATAAACTATGCGTCTCTGTTTAGATATGGTACCGATCAAATAGCCATTGTCCAAATCAGTTGATAAAATATCTGGAAAACTTTTCATATATTTCTCGGTAACTTCCTGAGGAAAATCCAAGCATCCAGAGACAGTCATAGTTGCATAGAACACTATCTTGAAAGGTGTTTGTGTAGTTCGATACTCAGAATTATACTCAACAACCTTAAAAGTATTGATAAGCACCGATCTCCCCTCGACCAAATCTTTACGAAAAGATTTAGCGAAAAATCTTTCAACAGTTGCTTGTATCCTATCACCCTGAGTTCCAAAGGACAATTAAAAAAAATTAACCAACAAATAATTGGCTAACCGGGATATTCACAAATTATAGCACTAACCTCTTGATCAACCAAGACCATCTCAAGTGAACACCCCCCTCTGCCTTTAAATCCATCCCAAACTTTGAGGATATTAACTTTGATAACAAAGTTATCAGAGCCAGGACGTAAATCCCTAACGAAAACATTAGATGCTGATTTTCTTTTAAAAATCGACATAGCTTAGACCACACGATATTGTAACAAAGAAGAAAAATTGGGAGAAACTAAGACGAAGAATGAGTCTCTATACATATCCGAATTAAGTCTAATTTACATATATATATATATATGTATATATATATATATATGTAAATTAGACTTAATTCGGATATGATTTACTACTTTTTAGAATATACATATATCGCAACAAAAGTTAAAGACGATAAAATCTTCTAATTTTCTTTATTTTAAAAATGTTAAAAACGATAAAATCTTCTAATTCTCTGTATAAAGCAAAAAAATAATACTCAGATAATATCAATTTATATATACTTTAACGGAAAATTAACATAATGAAGATAAATTCAATTTTAAAAATGGCAAACATTACAGTAACTGTATATACAAAGTAGAAAATATATTTCATAAATAAGTAATTAGCGATTTAGGTAAATAAATTAAGGAATTCTTCCTAAACGATGTGTTTAAGCTACCAAAAACGTTAATACATACCAATAATTAAGCGTAACAATAAATTATATAAAATGAGATCAATCAAAATATCTTTACAGTTTATCATTTGTATAATTTATCCTCCGTATATAATATTTACAATTCTTAAACAATATATTGCATGAAAGAATAATTATTAGTCTAAATATAAAATGAAAAAT